GTCCTGTATGCCGGGTGTAATTCTCGGTATCTGTTCTTATTTTGTATGTATGGACTCTGCACAGTTACACTTTTCTTGTCCTGTATGCCGGGTATAATTCTCAGTATCTGTTCTTATTCTGTATGTATGGACTCTGCACAGTAGCACTTCTCTTCTCCTTTATGCTGGGTGTAATTCTCGGTATCTGTTCTTATTCTGTATGTATGGACTCTGCACAGTAGCACTTCTCTTGTCCTGTATGCCGGGTGTAATTCTCGGTATCTGTTCTTATTCTATCTACTATATAAATGAATTGGACGATTTCCTAGGTCTGATGAACATTTTTTTACTATGTACATTATAAATCTTCTTTTTGTACTGTTGGTGTTACAAGCCGTGCCCAGTTTATTCTTCTTTTATCACCCTATAAACTGTCCTCCCAGATTGAGAATGGAAGGAGGAAATGAACATGACAAACCGGTTGGGCTGTTATGGGCCACGGGAACCGATCTTCCATCTGTATCAGAGAGTCTGAGGAACTACTAGTGCCAGCATGCCCTCTCAGCAGCTTGGCTTGTGTATGTAATAAAGGAGAACTCCACCAAATTAGGACAAATAACAGATTTTGATGTCAGGGTCCCAGGGTAAAGGACTGATCCCCGCTCCCGCAGGCTCCAACAGCGGCACCCTGGTCTCCCCTACGCTCCAGGGACTGGAAGTCCACTGATGTCATCACATAAAAAGCAGGGTCCATAGACCCAAAATATATGTGAGGATGCTGAGGGACAGTCCACAAACTGAGCACAGGGGAGACAAAGAGAGTGCTGACTGCTGCGGTGCGGGGATCAGGTAATTAAAAGTCCTTTACCTCATACCCTACACCTAACGGCATTTAACCCTTGCAGTGCGGAGGCAGCCCCATTGTTTTTCCAGAGGTAGGCTGTAAGATAGCCATACACTGCTTGGTGTTCTCTTGTTTAGCCCACAGACTCAGTGTACATACCTGGTACATACCCATCAACAGTGGTGTAACTATAGCAATAGCATCCCAGGCAGCGGCTATGGGGCCAGGGGGTGGAAGGGGGTCCCCATTAGGTTGTTAAGGCAAATTAAGTTGTTGTTGGAGAGTTGGAGGAAACAGAAGCACCCAGACACACTCCATGTTATTATTATTATACAGGATTTATAGAGCGCCAACAGTTTGCACAGCGCTTTACAATATAAGGAAGACATTACAATCACAATACAATTCAAGACAAGGTGGTAAGGGGGGCCCTGACTGTAAGAGCTTACAATCTAAAAGGGAGGGGCCAGTGATACATGAGGAGGTAGCTATGTGGGGATGATTTGTCTGAGAAAGTGATAGTCCAATGGTTAGGTGGGATAGGCTTCCCTGAAGAGATGAGTCTTTATGGATACAGAGTAGGAGATAGATGGAAAGGTTGGGGTCATGAGTTCCAGAGGATGGGGACTCTAGAGAAGTCCTGGAGGCGAGCAAGGGAGGAGTTGATGGGGGAGCTGGAAAGCAGGAGGTCTTGGGAGGAGCGGAGGGGACGGTTAGGGCGATATTTTGAAACAAGGTTGGAGATATAGCCGGGGGCAGAGTTGTGCATTGCTTTGTAAGTGCTTGTTCATATCAGTGGCGGAACCATCACCTTAGCAGCCCAGGCGGCTGCTATGGGGCATCAAGGGGACCTCTTTGTTCCTCCTCCTGGCAGGGCCGCCTGCCAGGAGGCGGGGCCCAGCGACGGTGGAGAAGGCTGACAGCGGATCGGGGCTTACAGGTAAGAGATGTGCAGGGGTGTGACCAGCCCATCTGAGACCCTGCAGAGCCCACCATAGAGAGTCTATGGTAGGCTCTGCAGGGTCCCTCTCAGGTGGGCTGTGTGGGATCTAAGATGGGCTCTGCAAGGGGCGTAACTAGAAATCACACGGCCCCATACACAATTTCGCTATGAGGCCCTTTGAATTCTATTTATGTCCCTGGTCCATATTTGGAATTTCCTCCCTTTGTCCCATGTAGGATCTTCACTCCAGGACCCTGATCTGCAAAGCAGCAAGCCACCGAAGCTAAATGATCCTTTCAAGATAAAGTACCCCGTAGCTAATTTTCCACTGCAGCTTACCCAGCAACGTCTCTTCATTGTGCGTCTCCTCTGGAACGTTGGGGTCTTGCTGCCTTGGTGGGAGATTGGCTTTGAGCACATTAGACGGCAGCTCAATAAATGTGCCCCATTGTTCTCCTCCATGCAGAGCAGAATGAACAGGAAAAGAAAGCTGGCTTTACAGAGAGAAAGAAAAAACACTCCTATAGAAAAACAGATGACAGTTGCTTCTATGTGGAGGAAATTATAGATCTCTTGTGTGAAGTACACTATGTTGCAAAAAGTATTTGGACACCCCTCCAAATCATTGGATTCAGGTTTTCCGATCCCCTCCATGGCCACAGGTGTATAACATCAAGCACCTCGGCATGCAGACGCTTCTACAAACATTTGTGAAAGAATGGGTCGCTCTCAGGAGCTCAGTGAATTCAAGTGTGGTACCGTGATAGGTTGTCACCTGTCCATCCGTGAAATTTCCTTGCTACTAAATATTCCACAGTCACCCGTTAGTGGTATTATAACAACGTGGAAGCAACTGGGAACAACAGCAACTGAGCCACGAAGTGGTAGGCCACGTAAAATGACAGAGTGGGGTCAGCGCATGCTGAAGCGCACAGTGCGCAGAAGTCGCCAACTGTCTGCAGAGTCAATAGCTACAGACCTCCAAACTTCATGTGGCCTTCAGATTGGCACAACAACAGTGCGTAGAGAGCTTCATGGAATGGGTTTCTATGGCCGAGCAGCTGCATCCAAGCCTTACATCACCAAGTGCAATGCAAAGCGTCGGGTGCAGTGGTGTAAAGCACGCCGCCACTGGTCGTGTCTGGGGTTGGCGTTTGCCAGGAGAACGGTACTTGCCTGACTGCATTGTGCCAAGTGTAAAGTTTGGTGGAGGGGGGATTATGGTGTGGGTTTGTTTTTCAGGGGTTGGGCTTGGCCCCTTAGTTCCAGTCAAGGGAACTCTTAAGGCATCAGCATACCAGGACATTTTGGACAATTTCATGCTCCTAACTTTGTGGGAACAGTTTGGGGGTGGCCCCTTCCTGTTCCAACATGACTGCGCACCAGTGCACAAAGCAAGGTCCATAAAGACATGGATGGGGGAGTTTGGGGTGGAGGAACTTGACTGGCCTGCACAGAGATCTTTCCTCAACCCGATAGAACACCTTTGGGATGAATTAGAGTGGAGACTGCGAGCCCGGCCTTCTCCTCCAACATCAGTACCTGACCTCACAAATGGTCCAACATTCCCATAGACACACTCCTAAATCTTGTGGACGCCTTCCCAGAAGAGTGGAAGCTGTTATAGCGGCAAAGGGCGGAGCCAACCCAATATTGAACCCTACAGACTAAGACTGGGATGTCATTAAAGTTCATATGTGTGTAAAGGTGTCCCAATACTTTTGGTAATATAGTGTATCGCTGGAATACAAATACCACATCAGCCAATCAGATTCTGCCGTTTAGGTTCTAATCTGTTTCAAAGGATTACAATCCGCCTGTCATTGGTTACAACGGATATTCGGAGATCCCAACTGTCCTTCTTTCCAACATAAGCTGGCCATAGATGGCTAGAAAAACCACTCAATTCCCCATCTACACTAAGGAGTGTGTCCCCCTCTGATACCCCAACAGTGACTGCATCTGATTGGACGTTCAGCCAACAATCCTCCATCCGGCTGCTTGGAGGTTGTAGCTGAGCGGACCACCCAGGGCTCGAACTCTGGCCCTTTACGCACCAGAATGCTGCAATTGAGACACCTGTCTGAATGAGCCCTTAATGTGGAAGCTCACTGAGCTTAGTAAATAAGGGTCCTGGCATAAAGCCTCGCATATGATTGGATATTCAAAGTGAACAAAGGCTGACTTGTAAGTAATCAGCTCATTGTATCACATGTGAGTGTTCATCCTGCACTCCTTTAGTACATCAGCCCCAGTGTCTCCGATACATGCGAGTGATCATCCTGCACTCCTTTAGTACATCAGCCCCAGTGTCTCCAATACATGTGAGTGATCATCCTGCACTCCTTTAGTACATCAGCCCCAGTGTCTGATCATCCTGCACTCCTTTAGTACATCAGCCCCAGTGTCTCTGATACATGTGAGTGATCATGCTGCACTCCTTTAGTACATCAGCCCCAGTGTCTGATCATCCTGCACTCCTTTAGTACATCAGCCCCAGTGTCTCCGATACATGCGAGTGATCATCCTGCACTCCTTTAGTACATCAGCCCCAGTGTCTCCGATACATGTAAGTGATCATCCTGCACTCCTTTAGTACATCAGCCCCAGTGTCTCTGATACATGTGAGTGATCATCCTGCACTCCTTTAGTACATCAGCCCCAGTGTCTGATCATCCTGCACTCCTTTAGTACATCAGCCCCAGTGTCTCTGATACATGTGAGTGATCATCCTGCACTCCTTTAGTACATCAGCCCCAGTGTCTCTGATACATGTGAGTGATCATCCTGCACTCCTTTAGTACATCAGCCCCAGTGTCTCTGATACATGTGAGTGATCATCCTGCACTCCTTTAGTACATCAGCCCCAGCTGATCATTGCACAGAGTTTTGTATGAACAGGCGGATCCACTTGTAGCAATGATGAGAAGCTGTTGCAGAGTCCTGCCAGCAGCAGCAGCTCAGGATCATTGCTCCGTGTCTCTCTGGAAAAGAAGTCCCTCCAGTTCCTCCCATTGATCATGGCTGGGCTCTAGGTAGGCACACAGTTATCTGTCCCTGGCACCCTCTGCCAGTCCGCAGCGTATAATTGGCCCCCCGGTGACGTTGTCAGAGCCGTCCGGAAGGCTGGCCGGAGGATCGTCCACCAATCAGAGAGCCGGGAGAGGGCAGCGCCAGCCCAGCCCAGAGCCGGGGCGACTGTCACTCGGTCTCCGAGCTGCTGTGTGCGCCGTGTGCGGAGATCGGAGCGGAGTGCCAGCATGTCCAGAGACACAGGTGGAGGGTGAGTATGAAATCCGCCGTCTGAGTTGCTGTCTACCAATAGGAAGCATCCTCCTGGCACTGGAGAGGTTAACCAGACTTTTATTTCTTGCACTGTCTGTATGTGAAGCAATCGGTTCTGGTCAAATCTACCAATCACTGATCCATGCCAATCACTTTCGATCACTGGATCACATATAAAGATGAAAACAGTTGGGTTGGAAGATTCTGAGTTCAAGCCGATCTTCTGGTGTATGGGGCAAATTATTCTGTGTCAGTCACTTTCCATGTTCCATCTCATGCTGTGGAAAGTAATTGATGATGGCGAAGTTATATTTTGGTTGACTTTCCCCAATTTCTGATCGGTTACAATGGTTGGGTTGAACAGCGGTCGCAAAAATCAGTATGTGGCTGACCAGTGTTACATTATCTCCCTGGTCAGTATGGCAGCTGGTCTGCACATGTAGTTAATGTGTCACTAAATACAGGAGATGAATCTTAAAATACATTCAAGTACATTAACTATTAATAAAAATGTATCTTATTTGTGTATCACTCGGCTGTAGATCCTCCAATCATCTCTGACTCGGTGCTGACACTGTCCTTCCTTCTGGAGGGTGGCTACTTTTGTTCCCTGTGGTTCCCGTGTATTGTAAAGTAGTCTCCGCTCCAAGCTCACTCCAGTGATGGACTACAAACTCACATTTAGTTTACTGATTTGTATTGAGATTGTAGTCCATCACAAGAGTGAGCTTGGAGCAGTGGCTACTTTACAATACACAGGAACCACAGGGAACAAAAGTAGCCACCCTCCAGAAGGAAGGGCAGTGTCAGAACCAATCCAGAGATGATTGGAGGATCTACAGCCGAGCGATAAACATATAAGATACATTTTTGTTAATAGTTGAGGTGCGTGAATGTATTTTTAAGATTTATGGCCTGAGTTTAGTGTCACTTTAATGTGATTTACATATTCAATGACAACAGCAATGCACCGAATAAAGCTGAGGCAGTCGTCAAGTGATTCATGCTTAAAGCTGTTCCTGTGTGTGGTTAAGCCCTGAAGGGATGGAACAGAAAACTCTTTTATCATATTGCTTGTGTCTGGGATATGCAGATATCAGGCAAGCAGAAATGTCCTCATTTACCTGAATATAAAATGTGTGTGAGAAGTCCTCAGGATATAATTGGAGGAAGATGCATAGAAGTTGTTGTCGGATGTGACTTGACCCAATCCTCCTAATACGTGAAAAACTTTTGGTGTTGACCGATTTTGCTGGCACTGTGCCGTTTATGGAAAGGACACACTATTCTAGTCTGTCCAGGGTCAGTTTATAGAAATAACTATGTATCTTCCAAAGATGTATCTTCCAAAACTTCCAAAGATACATAGAATCTTCTGACTGTACAATTTCCTTTGGAATGACCATCAATTCTCACGTGAGTTTCTACTGCAGTCATTCCCAATCTGAATCCTGTGGTACCCTAGTTTTTCTCAAGACGTTACCAGTGGTTCCTTGAGCAGCAGCAGACTGACCTCCCACCTTATAGTGCCTGCATAGTCCCAGAGCCAATGTCACTTAGCAAGTACAAAGCCATGTCAAGTGACATTAGCCGTGGGACTATGCAGGCACCATAAGGTGGAAGGTCAGTCTACCACTGCTTGCTGCTCAAAGAACCACTGGCAAACCCTTGAGGAACCCTAGGGTTCCACAGGGTCCAGGTTGAGAATGACTGCAGTAGACACTCAAATAACATTTGATGGTCATTCTAAAGGAGATCTGTGGACAAGGATTTGGCTTTGCCAGGTGACATCAGCCCTGGGACGATGCAGGCACCATAAGGTGGAAGGTCAGTCTACCACTGCTTGCTGCTCAAAGAACAAATGGCAACCTCTTGAGGAACCCTAGGGTTCCACAGGATACAGGTTGAGAATGACTGCAGTAGACACTCAAAAAATATTTGATGGTCATTACAAAGGAGATCTGTGGACAAGCATTTGGCTTTGCCAGGTGACATCCGCCCTGGTACTATGCAGGCACCATAAGGTGAAAGGCCAGTCTGCTACTGCTCACTGCTCAAAGAACAAATGGCAACCTCTTGAGGAACACTAGGGTTTCACAGGATCTAGGTTGAAAATTGACGGCAGTAGACATTCACATGACAGTTATTGGTCATTCTCTGGACAAGGCTTTGGACTTGCCAGGTGACATCAGACCTGGGACTATTCAGGCACCATAGGGTGGGAGGTCAGTCTGCTGCTGCTCATGGCTCAAAGAACCACTGGTAACCTCTTGAGGAACCCTAGGTTTCCACAGGATCCGAGTTGAGAATAACGACACTCAAATGACACTTGGCACCATCAGAACCTCTCTTCTTGTCTATCAGATACCTGCTGACACCATTAATCTTTTTAGCTGTCTGTAAGGATGGCTATCCTCCTTCTGACCACGAATGAGCAGGACATTCTTCCACCAAAACCCCAATGTATTGGGCATTCTGTCCTTTCTGGCCATTATTATTTGTTCATTTTGATTTTCATTATTATTACTGAAAATAATTTCATAGTATATAGTGGTTACAGACATAATACCCAAATCTCATCGCCCTCCTCATCAGATTGTGAAATAAGAAGACAGAGAGCTCAGATTCAACCATCATGGAGCTCTCACTGCTTTATCTTACCTGGGCAGGGAAGGAATTACATCCTGCATTGTTACCTTGGAAAGTCATGGTGTATGTCGTAGGAGCATGTGTTGTCCTCTTTACTGGAACAGCTATTGTGCTCTATGACTTCTCACAGTACATGAGTGGACACTGCAAGATTTAATGGTAGACAGCAGGAGGGTTTGGACAGGCAGGTAAGGTCTTACTGCCCTCAGGCATCTCAATCTAACAATGTTCTCCCAAACACAGGAGGATGCATGGTGACCATGAGTGTGTAGCCTATGGAGAGGGCCATGGTGCAGACACCTGCTGCGTCAGGTTATCATAAGGAAATAAATTGATCTGACAAGGTTTTCCCTCCGATCACTTTTACCCCCTGCCAAACTTTGGCTGACAGTGTTTGCTTCTTCTCCTTAGAACTTAGTTTGTCTTTTAATCTTGCCAAAACCACCAAATCAAGAGACTGTTATCTAGTGCCAATAGGTACCATCAACAGGGTCTGTAATCCAGTTTTACAGTTTGGTGATGAACATTGGGGGGTAAACTGGATATAGTTTTATTGCAGTGTCCCTTCAAGAAATCATTGAATTAAACATTCTAAGGTTGAAAAAGTAAAATGGGACTCCCTTTGACGGCCCTCAGTTGTCAGCTGTCCTTGGTTTCCAGGGACAGTCCCTGACTTTGAAATTGTGCCTCTGGAAATGTCCTTGGTTTCTTACATAGATCAGCATCAGAATATCATTCACTCTTTTTCATACATTCATAGCATCTGATCATTTCCAGCGAGGTTCCAAGAAAACTTGAAGTGTTAGAGTGGAGGTATGGGCAAAATAAAAAATAACGTATAGGATGCAGTCTGTCACTGTAACGCAGTAACGCAGCAATTTTTGTTTTGCTGCGTCTCCCTTGTAACAGTTTTATTGTCTGTTGATTCTCCCAATAGATACATTATTTTTCCACTTTCTGTGATAGGGTGACAATGCTGTTTGTTCTGCAGTGTAATTGTACAGCAACGTTGTCACCCTGTTCTCAGGGAAGCCATAGTTTTAAAGCAAACCACCAAACATAAATTGATCTTTTGGACCCCCCTCCAGTGCTGCGATGTCAGTGCTCTCCTCTGTCACCGGCGCTTCTGTCTTCTAACGTTCTTCTTCCAGGTTCAGCATCTTGGACCTCTTGATTGGCTGGGCTGATCTAATGTAACTTCCTCATGTGTAAATCGGAGTTACAACTCTTTACTGAGATTGTACATTGCCTTGCACACGCGTGGCACTGGGCATACGAACACAGGAGTGATAGGACATACAGAGTCTCTTCTGTCATAAAAACCCTACTGGTGAGTGGCTTTTTTTTGTTTAGTTTTACTTCTGCTTTAAATGGACTTTACGTACGAGACAAACAATTAAAGCCCAACCCTTCTTAGCAGTTAAAGCAACATCTTTTTTTTTCCTTTTGGAAAAAAAGTTTTTAGTGCTATGAATTACAGCTGTCTGTAAACACACCTGCTAGTGTGAAATGGTTTGGCCCAGCCCCTGTGGCTATCACTTTTGCCGGGCAGCTTGGCCTGGTAAAGGAAATGGAAGAAATAATAGATCTAATGGCAGGATCAACAGATAACATAACTATGTTACAGGGGGGACTCAGAACAGAAAAGACTGCTGTGTTAATGCTATAGACATTTTGCATCTTATATATGTCCAAATAAAATGTTTATGTGATAAAATATGTACTTTTTGATATAGCCATACCTCCCAACTTTCTGACATGAGAAAGAAGGACACCTTACAGAATTGTTTTTTTTTCACAATTACTTTTCCTTTATAGTGGCTTTTCGAAATATCAAACACGATAGTTAAGAGATAAGATGAAGGTTTTACTGAAGAAAAGCACATGTTGTAGTTAAAGGAGAACTATGGGGTGAAGTCTTTTCCCCAAGCTCGCGATAAACTGAGATGCTGAAGCGGATCCCGACAATTATGTCTGGATCCGCCCAGCTGCGTGAGTGACAGCTGGTTCTGCCTATCTAGAGGCAGAGCCAGCTGTACCCGCCCCCTCCCCCATCCGATCCGCCAGCCAGCGCTGGCGGATTGGAGCGGGGAGGGGGGAATCCAGCCCCTCCCATGTCACGGCAGAGAGCAGTGACAGGATCGAGAGGTGAGCGAACGCCGGTATGTCTCATAGTCCACAGGTCAGCTAGAACTATGAGGTGAGTGAAAAGCACTCACCTCATAGTTCTTCTTTAAATAGAACATTTTCATCGATGTTTCAACATCAGACCAAAAAGTAGGACAACTGAGGAGGAAAGAGGGATTTGGTTTTAAATGAGGGTCCAATGGGAGGTATAGACTGAGCCCA